TATATAAATTTGTTTTTTATTTTATTTTATTAAATAGAAAGTAATATGATTGTTTGTAAATTAAAAATATGATTTTTTCAATATATGTTTTATGTAACCATCAAGAAAAAAAAGTAAAAGGAATTATTAGAAATCTATGTTTTTATTGTTATGTTTGAATAGAATTTATTATATTCCTAAATTACTATTTTAATTTTTATACAAAAATGTACTTAAATAGTTAATTATCTTAAAGAATCATTTTTTCATGTAATACAGCACAAAACATTAATTTTGTTAACATTTTTAAGTTATATTATAATAAATGTTCTCCTAACTTATTTTACTAAAACTCAAGCACAAGGAATACAATCTTTGAATTAATAGTGTTTCTCATAATTTTTATTTGTGAACTAGAGTTTGGTATTAATATTTCTAATTATTTACATTAAAACATTAATATTTAATCTTTTTATTCTACTTTTCCTCGCCTTATCCCAACTACTTGGGGTCGGGCAATTAAAACATTAATATTTAATAACTTACATTTTTTTGATATATTAATTAAAAATTTTTTACGCAGAGATACCATAATTAAATTATTTATGGAAAAGGGAGTACTTATATTTTTATTACTTTTATCAACTTATATTAACTGATTTACAGATTGAGACTACATAATATATAAAGTCTTATAGTTTGTAAGACATTTGACATTTACTATCCAATCACATTTAAAATAAATACAATTTTAAGAATTTGTTTTATTTTTTTACAGTTTTTGTTTAATATACTGGCTCAAAAATTGTTATTGGATTATAATTTTTTAATTTTTATTTTTTTTTATACGAAAATATAATCATTTTTGTATTGCCACTTAAACATATGAAATTAATACCCTTATAAGACATAAGGAATTAACCTTATAAATAGAAAAAATATATAACCCGGTTTATAAAAAGTAATAAATTTTTAAGCTTTTACTTACAGCATTATTGTGATTCCAGAAAATATAAGACGGTGGCTCTGGACTATGAAGTACAATACATGTTAAGTTTATTGTGCTTCCACGATTAATGAAAATCTCTAGGCCTCCAATAATATCTGTTCGAGGTTCTGAAAATAGTAAAAGTATATTTCCTTTATAAAATAACTAATCATTTTATTTTTATCGTTTATACATAATCCTTGGAAAATTTAATCTATTTAAAGACCAGAAAAATAAACAATAATTAATTGCAGATATACCAACCTTGAAATATACCTATATAAATCTAACATTGTTTAATTTTTGGTAAATCGCAGTTTTACTTTGTTATTTGGAAAGTAATTAAAAGTTCCAAATAATTTGAGTAAGCTCATCGTTGCGTTTTTAAACTAATAATTTTATCAACAATTTAAGAAAAAAGGAAATGATTTCAAAACAACAATAATAACATAAAAGTTTCAATTTTTTTTATTTTAATTTTAATCTTTTAATAATCTTATTTTTTAAGTTTAGGTTAACAGTCAAAATATTTTTATTTTCTATAATTTATTAAGTTATAGGAGTAAAATGTAAGATATTTCATATCTATATATGAAATGCTCAGTTCAAAAAGGGGTCATGTCTGATAGTAACTTATAAAAAAGACATCAAATTTAATATTTGTTGAGTGGAGAAACGAGACATATTAAGAAAATTTCTCATTTATGTACTTCTTTAATCATAATTATTATGGATAAATTTTAACCTATAATCCAGAAATTTTTGTTTTACTTAAAAGTGTTATTTTTAATGTTGCTTTTTTTTTTTATTTAAAACAGATTTTATGGTTTTAATGAAGTAGTTCTTAACTGATTGTTTAATGTTTTAGAATTTATTTTTGTTTCATTCAACATGAATTTTGTAATTTTTAAACTGATATTAAAATAAACATACTCATATAAAAAATAAGTAATATTTATACCAACTAACATCTTCATTCCTAATAAAATGAGTTGAGTATAGAAAGGAGATATGTACATGTAAAAAAAAATGGACGCTTTATTTTTAGAATAACAGTAAATTTGAATCAAACATAATATTTTATTGTAGAAAGGTATAAGATTAACTTGTATGAATTGTTTAGAACGTTAGATATTAATAAATTCATTGCAAATATTTTTTTGTTTCTCCTATAAAGTTTACTTTTTATGACATGTTCCTTTTTCTAAATTGAGTATTTCATAAAACGTTTGATCTACCACGAGAACGTACAAATTTCATTTTATTAGAATTGTATAATGGCTACGTAATACATTTGTGGCTTAGAGAAAACATGAACGAACGTTTTTTAGTTGTCTTTCTTGTGACATTACTGACAAAACTTTTGAAAAACATAATATTAGCCACTCCTGTACTAACCCATAGAAATAATTTCAATAACTAATAAAATACTAAAAAAATTTTTAATTAATAATTTATATTCAAACTTATTAATTTTAAATATATATTCTTATTATACTTTTTTATTTATTTTGAATAAATTAGTGTATGAATTTATTCTATGATTAAATCAACAAAAATAAATCTCAAATTAATTAATAATATAAAAAAGACAAGAGTAGATAATATGGGTAGGTCGATAAGTGTCTAAAACGCTTTTTTGTCGTTTCAAATCTTGATCAAAGTTAACGAACGATGGATACTTAAGAATGGAAAGACCGTTATCCTTGTATATGGCTGCGGATTAACAGCCTATTTCGGAGTGAATAATATTTCGTTCAGAAAATCTCTTTCTCTCTGGAGTATCAATAGTATTTTATGGGAAAATTAAACATAAGAAAAAAGATAGATATAATAAATTGTATTTTTTTCAATAATAATTATTGAAACATAAAAATAGTAAATTATTATTTTATATAAATACATTGATTATAATTAGATTTTTGATTACAGTAAAGTATTAAAAATAGTTTAGTATATAGAATAAAATGAAAATGTTAAAATAAATAAAAACAATTCATACATGTATGTTATTTTATTGCCAAGTCGTAAGTATTTTATATGATTCTTTGGTTATAACAGTAGCCTTAAAAACTAATAATGTTTTCATAAGCTTTTATGACTAATATATATATATGTATTACAGTATTGTTCGCTATTTCTGCAGTTAGCTTAGTAAGTCTTAAACATAAAAATGCTAATATATTCTGATATACTTGGAAGGATTAAATATAATTATGATAATTTTTATTTCGTTATTTAAGAGTTTTTCATTCAAAATGCTTCTAAAGTATTTATAAATGAAATAATTGTTTCAATACATGATCTTCTAAGAAACCATTAGGTGAACTTATACACTGAGTAAGTACCAATTATCAATATCATAAGTTACTACTTAACTATTCAATAATTATTTGTCTGTGATAGATTCTAAGGGAAAAAATCGGTATTTTCGTTTTTACATAACTGTATTATTAATTTTAAAAATGTTCATAATATAGTTTATCATGATTTTTATTGTGCTAAATAAACTTATTCTATTAGCAACTTGGTACATAAAATTTGGAACATTTGTTATACCATATGCCATGTAAGTGTATCAAGTTATGAAATTCGTGATGTCTGAAAGTTATATGCATACATAAATATAAAATCGTCAAATATCATGAATCATTTATGTTTCTTGGTAAGCTTTTCGAAATATTCAAATTGTATTTAATTATCATCGTTTTGGAAAGGTAGAGCTTGATACAATGTATGTTTTTATTTATATTTTCAAAATAAAACTGTTTAGAGAGATTCAGGTTAAATATACTCGAAAAATATTTTTAGTTAGACTCGTACAAAAGTTTTGAAGAAATTAATGTTTCTTCAGGTGTGGTTCAAGGCTTTTATTTGGGTCCATTATTGTTTCTTATTTTTATTAATAAAGTCTAATATTTTTGGTAATGACACTAATATTTTATTATTTGCTATTACATTTATACTACAGCCCACTCTTATGATAATTGTACATTTTTGCAGTCTAATTTAAATCGATATATTGAAAGGGATATAATTGAGCATACCCCCAATTATCTCCCTTTAATCATTGATAAATGTGATATTATATACTTTGTTCGTAATAATAGTTAACTAATTTATAGTTATCATATTTTGAGTATTCAGCTAAAAATAGTTATTTATTTTAGTTCTGATTTGAAATTTACTTTTCATGTTAATTCTACCATTAATAAAGCTATAAATATGCTTGTTTTTTTTAAATAGAAACATGGTAAAATTTAAAAATAAAAATTTCATAAAATCGTTATAATCATCATTGGTTCATTCTTACTTAGAGTTTGGTTCTCTTGTTCGGTATTCTATCTACACAACTCATATTTCAAAATTTGAGAATGTTTAATATAAATTGTTAAAAGTACAAGATGAAAATAAATATTTCCAGCGATCTTTTTTTATTAGTAGTGGACTCAATTGTCCTTAATATACGCCAAATCAGGCGTAAATTAGCAGATATTATGTTCATTTACGACCTTACAAATTTTAATATCGATTGCCTTAAACTACTTTTCAATGTTCGATTGGTTCATTTTACTAGAACTCAATCTAAATTTTCTCAATATCTATTATTTTAGAATTCAAATTTAAAAAAAACTCTTAATAATTTAACTAAAAATTTTTGCATAAAAATACAGATAAAAAAATATTTGTTTTTACTTTTGACAAACAATAAATTTAAATAAGTCGATTTATAATATAAATTAATGAAAAATATAGTATACAATTTTATCAGAATATATAAGTTTTATGAATTATAAAAATTTGTAATTCGTATTTTTTCTTATTACAGATTATAAATCTGTATAATATTCTTCTTCCTCGCCTTAATCCCAAATATTTGGGGTCGACCATTCTATCTTTTTCCCTTATACACGAGTCCAGCCTAGAGTTAAGAGGTGATGTCCCTACACTGTTGACACTACAAGCTGTTCACCTGTACCGCACACGTTGTCCGACTTGTAACAAACACTTTATTCCTTAGGCCTTCTCCGTTTTTAACTACTTTATTCCCTCTCACCTGATGTCTCCGCGTACATCCGAGATGGGAAAATTCACCTAAGTTTTGTTCAGAATACTTCATACTGTGTTTATGACATACACATTACATTTTTCATATAGATTTAAAAATTCTTTTTTTTTAAACAAATTTCTAAGATGTTAAACACAGTAAATAAAAACATTGAATTTAAGTGCTGAATAAGCTTATCATTTGTTGATTTTATTTGTTAATATACAAATTTTAAATGCATGTTTGGATATTTAAATTTTAAACCTATACAATTAAATATATTAATGAATAGAATATTCTTTTTATGTTTTTTTTTTTTGAAATATTTAAGCCAGTCACTAAAGAAAAAATGTAAATTTTTTAATCATATAATAAGAGAAAAAGTCGTTGTGAATAATATATTCAAAGAACAAGTTCAAGTTTCCATAAGGTGCAATTGATAAAAGTTTCTGTACTTATAATAAAATGCTACATAAAATATAATTAAGTTTTTTGGTTTATTTGTGAGTGATTATATTAAGTACGTCATTACAGTACGTTTTAACTTCTTTTATATTATAATTTACAATGAAATTGTAATATTCTTAAAGTTTATTTTATTTTTGTATAAATCAAAACTTTTATGCATTGTTGGTGTATCTTTTGTTTTATAATTATTTATGTAAAAGTAAAGTGCCATGAAATGCCAATTATTTTTTTTTACTTCTGTTTCTGATTCGATGTGGACTGTATACATTTTCTTAAATATATGTATAAATAACAACAGAAAACATAAGTATAAACGAATTTCAAATTTTATTTTAGGTCGCTTATATAAAGGCATGCGCGTTGCGTTTATAATAATACTAATTAAAAACAATAATAAAAACTGGAAAGCGCACTTATCTTCTAATGTGAAAACAACAACTTAGTAGATCAAACGATTTCTATAACTTAATATTAATGCATAGTAATAACATACAGATTTTTTAGATTTTACCGATTACAGTTATATCTTTTAATACAATTATTATTTTGTTGAGTTTTTTTATAATTATTCTCTTTTTAGACTACGTTCAAAGAATTTTTTTTTTGTTTATC